TCGTTAATAACTCGTTAACGGTGCCTCGGAGAAAATTTTTGTAAAGGAAAAAGTTGCTTCCAATGGCCTGAGGAACCCGCCACTTTCGGATTGCGAGACATTTTTGGGACACCCTGTATATACAGACAGAATATACAGTATCAGACTCTGTACAGTACATATCAGACTCTGTACAGTACATATCAGACTCTGTACAGTACATATCAAACTCTGCCGTCCAGGGAAATAGGCTCGCGCAGAATTCAGCCGTACCTAAAAGGTTAAGGGTTGACGCTCGCGTGACATCCTATCAGGCTGAAACTGTGCGGAACGGGTGGTGGACAAAAGAATATTCGATACAAATAACGTACGGTACGTTATATAGATTATGATAGAATTTTTATTATCACTCGATGACTAGATAATAATATAAAGATCCGTAGTAACTCGTGTCGATGAAGTTATGAACTGCGCCGGTCACGCGAATCTTTTTCCTTTCTTACGTTTCTTTTCCGTTTACGAAACCCAGTGTGAGAAGCACCGTATCGGTCCTCGTAACTGTACAACATACAATTCTCCTACCTGACGAAAGTAATACCTATTCTCGTCTCTTACTTCGTTTCACAATTAATCGAATTCTCGCGGTTAAAACGAATTTAGGGACGACGCGACGTATAATATGTACAATTCTACAGCGATATCCGTTCTTTGACCTCGATCCTCGTTTGTGTCGCGTAACGCGCGCTATCGTCGGGTACTCTCGTTAGGTACTCTTCCGAATAATACGAGGCGATACAATTTTTGTCTTTAAAAATAGTTCGATAGCGTTAACAACTTTGTGATGTGTATAGGTGTTCAAATGGTTCCTGCCGTTAGGCTGTACACCGCTCGCAGCGGTCGCAGCGATCGCACAGGCGTCAAGCGGCGAGAATTAGTTGGGCGATCAGTATGTACAAACGTTCGAAGCGAGCCTCACATCGTTACAGGTGAATATACACAAAAAGTTTTAGCCGTCGGAGATCGCAATCGATCGATCGATCGATACCGCCGCTTTTGATTATCGGTTCAATATAAATCTAATCGTGTTTTCGCATGTTACTGTATCCCGCGCTTATTATATATTATATACATATACAAATTATACAGATTGCGCATACATTCGTCGAGACGAGGGTACAATTGACATCGTTATGACATTGATAATACAAACATTGTTAATCCTTTACAAGCAAGAACATAATCGGACAACCGTTTCCGTAAAACCGGAGGGAACTGAATCGTATACCATTTTGAAAATACACCAAAATGAACAAAATTACGCTCTCGCAGTTATGTACAGAACCGGAAGAATATCGAGTTCACGTCGTGAAGCGCAATCGAACAATTCGTTCAAAGTTTCATCGATCGATCGACTTCTCCCAATCGACAAGGCTCAACTTTGTCAACTTTGTAAATCGGTAGAAGGAGACACACGCGAATCCCGACAAACGCGAAATTATCGGATCGGATCCGATATGTGTTTCTGCGAACAAAATCTCTGTCGGCGGCGATGTTGATTCCAGCGTGTTTTAATCGCGTTAGCAAAGTCGAGCTACGATCTAATTAAACCTCGAAACGAGAATTTTACTTTTTCGGACGAAACAGCAACGGGCCGGAGCGACCCACCGATAAGAAACTACTCTACAATAAAACGCAACACTGTTCCGAGAACTGATACCCGATCGTCGTTCGACTACAATTAGAGATCGCATCTCGACTTTCGGCTCCCTGAAGCGTTCAAGACGAAAGATCGATGCGAAAGAATTCCATTTCCGAATCGTCTGCGTCGGAAAGTCGACGAAACTAAACGAATGCCGCGATCGAATCCGATATCGACCTTTCTGTACACCGCGTTGCAAAAGGAACTTGTCGACGAAGAAACCGCGAAAGAACGATTCCATCGAATCGTCCGACGGGTTGGTTTGGGATAATGATTGGTGGTTCAGGGTCCTGAAAATTTTCTGTCGAGTTTTCTTGTTTGCGGACGGCGTCGCTCGTGCGAAGATCACTGTACGCCGATCCTCCCTCCTTTCCCTCCTCCCTCGGATCCACCTCGATCACTTCTCCTTTATTTAGAGTACGTTTAGAATCTAATCTGGTACTATTTACAATAAACGACACCTGAAACTTGTAACGTCGCGTAAGCGCGCGGTATGCCACAGACACGTGACCTGATCACATCCGACGTCGACGACGGTGACGATCCCCATCCGAAGCATAGTCGCAGTTCCACGCGACCGGTTCGACGGAATTCACTGAGAAACTCAAAGGTTGCCCCTCGACGGGAACACACTGTCTTTTCGAAACATGTATCTCGATGGTGCGAAATCGATCGAGGCCAAAGGGTATGTATATCTTCGAAAAGCAGACGATCGTTCGCCGGTCATCCAACGCGTCGGAGACCCGATCCGGCTGCGACGAGTCTCCGGCTGGCGGCACGTCTATAAACTACCTTCTAGATTTTCTTTAATCGATGATTAAACTTCATTAGTATCGGGAAACGAGGAACTTGTACATAAATATATTTAGATTAATCGCACTATCGAATTCGTAGCGCACGCGCGACAGAGACGCGAAGCTACGTGTCCATCGAACGAACATCGCGAAGCACGATCACCTTGTCGATCCTTGTTTGTCGCTTCGCGAGAGAAACGAGGAACTTACTCTCTAATCTTCCCCGCGTCGTTTACACGACGATCGGAATATTTACAATTTCCGCCTTCGCCGGATCAAGAAAGTTCCAGTTTCTTTTTCATTTTCTGTTATCATCGATATCGAAGGAATGTTTTGTTCGTTGTCAGCGATGGATCCGTAGCCTAACGTCAGACGACAGCGACAAAGTGGCATCATTCCGATGACGGGAAACCGGCCGGGACGGTGCAAAAGTACGATGGAAATGTGTAAAATCCACTCCCTGGCTCGAGTCGGTCCTCGATCGACGGGCCTCGATCGATTCCTCGCTCGGAGGGGTCCGCTTCAGGTTCAACTAGAACACCGAGGATCCTCCCGAGGCTCAAGGATTTAGCGTCGTAGATCCGACGAAGGAGGACGCGGCTTGTCTGATGGAGGACTCCCGGTAATCTTTCAACGGAGTCCTGCCTCGTCGAAGGGGATGTCAGGTGAACGCTTTGTGCCGATCCGTTCTTCCGAACGGTATTTGGCGACGCGCACGTCTGCCGGGTTATGTGGCGTAGTGGGAATGGTGGTGAGCGTGCGGGGGTGGTGGTTCGCCGAGCCATGAATCGGGCGAAGGTGGAAAGTCTGGGTAACCACCTCCGCCGCCGCCCCCGCCGCCCCCTCCGCCCCCGCTTGATTCGTTGCTCAAATCGGACGCCGGTCCTGGTACCATGCTGCCTGCACCACCTGGAAGATATATCGTCGAATAGAATGGTCCTTTGTCGTTCGAAAAGGTATCCTACGGAAGATTGGCTGCGGAGGGATGCAAGCGATATCTCATTCAAACGATATGGTTTCGCTGCATATTGCGCCGAGATTAGTCGCGGCGGGCTCTATTCGAACATTTTTCTTGCTATTCCAGGCAAAAGAGGAGATGCGTAACACGTGTTTGCTCCGATCAGACTCGGGCATATTTGATGAGACAATAACCCGTTATTTTTATGTTAGTAGCTACAGTGAATTCTCTCTAATCGACGCTCAATTTTTACGCAGAAGTGGACATTTTGGGTAGAGGAGATACGATTATTCGTGCCTCGCGGCTCGCTTTTATAGTCACCGATTATCAAAAACTATAACAACCAGCCGTAATGCTCGAATAATTATTAGAATAAATAATAATAAATTAGAATAAATATAATAATAATTAATTAATAAATAATAATAATAATAAATAATTAGAATAAATAATAAAGAATCTTCTCTTCTCAAATTGTCCACTTTTGCGTAAAAACTGACCGTTAATTAGAGAGCATTTACTGTATTTTCATGCTTGCGATCCATCCTGAAATAACGTTATTTGAAAGATTATTATTATTATAGCAAATAACGAGTTATTTTGTTCAATACTTTTGGGTCTGGTTTACACACATTCGTGTTTTAAACAAATCGTCGTGAACATTTCATGGAATAATATTTCCTTGTTGATTATATATTATTTCATGGATATCGTCTCTTTGCGAAGAGGACAACGCCTTAAACAAATTGTTACGGAGATTTCACGAAATACAAATTTTTTGTTCATTATTATCGAAGCAAGGTATTATTTGATATCGCTTTATCTCAAATGGGTCGATATTATTTTTATATTCGAATAACGCGGTCCGAAATAAATAATATTAAATAGTTCCTGATTGAAGTAATATTCGAGCACATTGACGAATTGAGCCGTTTATTTTGAAAGTGGCACAAGTCACTTTACCGTAATGAAAAGTGGTGATTTTTTAATGTTTATACGAAATTATTTATACTGAGAAAAATATCAGTATCCTGAGATAACAAATACAAGTAAATCTTCTCGAAAGTTAGCATCCATATTTTTAAACGTGTTAAAACCCAAACCCTTGAATATATCGACTNTGATATCGCTTTATCTCAAATGGGTCGATATTATTTTTATATTCGAATAACGCGGTCCGAAATAAATAATATTAAATAGTTCCTGATTGAAGTAATATTCGAGCACATTGACGAATTGAGCCGTTTATTTTGAAAGTGGCACAAGTCACTTTACCGTAATGAAAAGTGGTGATTTTTTAATGTTTATACGAAATTATTTATACTGAGAAAAATATCAGTATCCTGAGATAACAAATACAAGTAAATCTTCTCGAAAGTTAGCATCCATATTTTTAAACGTGTTAAAACCCAAACCCTTGAATATATCGACTTAAAAACAAAGTGACTTATGCCACTTTCAAAATAAACGGTTCAATTGATGGTATACGAACTGTTATCGTTTTGTAAAAAGAAGTCGTTCAACACGAAAGGATTCTACTTAAAACTCGAACGTTTTATTTATTCTTTCTCGAATTATATGTATACAGGGTGGGTGAAAAATCGCGGTACAACCGGCCAGGGGATGAGTCTACATGGAAAAATAAGTTGAAAGAAGGATAACATATTTTCATTTAAGGCTTCGTTTACGAGAAAAAATAAGTTGAAAAAATAATACAGTAAAGTCTCCCTAATTGACGCTCACATTGTCCACAAAACTGAACAATTTGGGAAGAAGAAATACGATTATTCGAGCCTTGCGGTTCGTTTCTACAGTTACGAATTGTCAACAACTATAAAAACGAACTGTAAGGCTGAAATAATCGTATCTTCTCTTCCCAAAGTGTCCATTTTTCGGCACAATCTGAACATCAGTTAGGGAGACATTACTGTACTACCGAATAGTAATCAAGTGGCACGTCTGGTCATCGCACACCAATTCTACTTCTCGTCATACACACAAAGCTGACGGATCTTTAAACTTATTTTTCTCGAAATCGCAGTCTTAAATGAAAAAATATTACTCTTTTTTTCGACTTATTTCTCCGTATAGAATCATCCCCTGACCGGTTGTACCGCGATTTTTCATCCACCCTGTATTTGTTGTCAAGGAAATCTACACGTGTAGCGTTTGTGAACATTTATCTTTGATTAACCATGTTTACTTTTACCTAGAATAATTTTATTCGCGATAACATTACCTATAACAATAGTTACACAACTATAATAGTAATACTTATAATAATATAGTTACTTATAACTTAGGATAATTTTATTTAGAATAATTATAATTATGGTAGTTTTCTTTTCTTTAGGAGTTTCATTTGATTGAAACTATTAGCTTGGCAAGAAAGTAATTTCGGCTTGCATGAATAGATAGCGTTATGTTTGCATTGTCATTCTTTTGTTAAAGTTATAATTTTCTTGTCTCCAGCTTTTGAAGTTGACACGTTTAGGTTACTATAGGAATAAATTCCGTGTAGTTTTGTTTACAACTGATAGTTTGCTGTCAATTTTAACATGGAGTGCAAAAATGAACATTTTCGACACATTTTACTTTTTTATTTTTATAAAGGCAAGAAAGCGGCCGAGACTCACAAAGAGACATGTGAAGTTTATGGCGTCGATTGCTTAACAGAACGCACGTGTCAGAATCGATTCTGAAGATTTCTGAACTAATTTCTGTTCTGAAAAAATTTCATTCTGAAGATTTTTCATAGAGGTGACCTATGATCTGATCGATCTGATCGATCTTCTGAAGTTAATGATGACAAAGTCAAAGCCATAATTGAATCGAATCGTTATATGACTGTACGAGAGATTGCAAAAAGGTTAAATGCATCGCACACAACAATTGAATATCACACGAGATGTCTTGGACTTGTTAAAAAGCTCGATGTTCGGATTCCGCATGAATTGAAAGAAATTCACTTAACACAACTAATCAGTATTTGTGATACGCATTTTAAACGTAATGCAATCGACAGGTTTTTGAAACGAATTATTACTAGTGATGAAAAATTGATCGTTCATAATAACATTAATCGAAAAAGGTCATGGTCGAAGCGTGATGAACCAGCACAAACCGTATCGAAAGCTGCATTGCATCAGAAAAAGATCATGCTGACAATTTGGTGGAACTATAAAGGTTTTCTATTCGGTTAAACGTGTATTTTGAGCTGCTTTCAAACAACCAAACGATCAACTCAGATGTTTACTGCCAACAACTTATGAAATTCGAGGAAGCAATCAAACTGAAAAGGCCAGAATTGGCAAATCGCAAAGGAATCGTGTCCTTCATCTTTAGCAACACGTACAAAAATATTGGAGCTTGGTTGGCAAGCGATGTCGCATTCTCCATATGGCCCCGAGCTTGCACCATCGGATTATCATTTATTTCGAAGTTTACAAAACATTTTAAATGGTCAAAATTTCAATAATAACGATAGCCTTAAATCTCACTTGATTGAGCTTTTTACTGACAAGGACCAGAAGTTTTGTGAGCGCGGAATCATGAAGTTACCAGAAAGATGGCAAAAGATCATCGAACAGAATGGAAAATATTTGACTGATCGAAGTTCATTTCTTGTATAAAAAAAATTGAGTTTTATTTCACATTGAAATACCGAAATTACTTAGTTTTGTGAGCGCGGAATCATAAAGTTACCAGAAAGGTGGCAGAAGGTCATCGAACAGAATGGAAAATATTTGACTGATCAAAGTTCATTTCTTGTATAAAAAAAGTTGAGTTTTACTTCACATCGAAATACCGAAATTACTTTCCTGCCAACCCAATATGTATATTAACAACTTATCGAAATGTTTCAGTTTAATTAGCATTAGTAATTGAAAATATTCACTTACTGAGGGTGGTGTAAACGGAGAAGCCAGCATCCGGCGGATATGGAAACTGAGGTGGTAAGGACGGTGATCTGGACGTTGTTGAGATATAAGGAGGTGTCGTTGCACCTATATATCCGCGTGGAGGACCGCCACCTGCTCCAATCCCACCTCCACCTGGACTCGCGCCTTCGCCATCCAATCCCATGTTCACCACTGTTCCGTAACTGTCGTTACTCAAATCTAAATGAAAATGTTCATCCGGTTAATTCACCATCATCTTTAAACTTTCACGGAAGACATCCATTATGTTGCTAATAGGCTGCAGATACTAATGGAATTTTCTATTTTTGTTCAGAAAGTGGAATTGTCTAGAATTTCATTTTTCACGGGATTAAACTTTGCGCGTTCACTCGTTGTTCTAAAAATTTGTTACGAATATCTTGAAACATCCACAGCCGAATTATGCAAATTCTCAAATCGTTGACGAGTAACTTTGAATACTTTCATTTTAATTCGATGTATTTTATTAAACTATGATACCATAAATCAGGGGTGTCAAACTCAAAAGCTAACTTCGGCCAAATAAACAATGCTTAACTTTGGGTGGGCCGCAAAAAAAAAGATCAATGTTCATAGAAACAAATATTTTTATTTTGACTAGTACATTGTAATAAACATATATAAAGTTAAATTATTGTTTACGTCCTGATACTTGACATCTCTTCTCTGATACTATCTTTCCTATTTCGGGAGAAATTTTATTGGCCGAGACTATTTCTATTTTATTTTTGGTTTACGTCGGATAAATTGACTGGGCCGCAAAAATGTTCATCTCGGGCCGCGAGTTTGACACCCCTGCCATAAATGTGTGTGTGTGAAACACGTTTTATCAAATCAAAATATCGATCTAAAATAGAACAAAATCGGGGTAGCAATATCTTTTGTAACAATCAGTACTTTCGGATAAAAATTGTCATTTTAATTAATAACAGAATACTTTGATATTTCGAGATACAGTAATTTCTCCCTAATTCGCGATCAGGTTGCGCACGAAAATGGACGATTTTGGAAAAGAAGATACGATTATTCGAGCCTTGCGTTTCATTTTTATAGTTGTTGACAGTCGGTAATTATAAAAACGAGCCGCAAGCCTCGAATAATCGTATCTCCTCTTCCCAAATTGTTCATTCTTGTGCACAATTTGAGCGTAAATTAAGGAGAATTTACTGTGTACCGTACGCGATAATGCTTTTAATTTATTTGAGAAACCTGTCGGATTGTTGTAGAATTAAAATTTCTTTTTACGAAGAACGAATTCCGTTGAATCGGTAATCAGTGATCCGACAGATCAAATCAGAAACAAATTGAACAGAAGAGTTTTAATTTTGCGTCACGTGCATCCGTTGATGGACAGATGCGTCCTCGATAATGAAAGGCTTTAAAATTTCAAGAACCGTGGAAGTTTGCATGGTCTTACGGCGCGTATGGTTAACGATAGGCATAAATTCGTGGATGGCCCGCAATCTTCCTGAAATCTCGGACATAGTGAACTGGCAGTTAGCCTCCACGAACTCTTGAATAATTGACGAGATCGTCTTCCCCTCTGCTAAACGCTCGAGTACACGAAAGCTTAGATGTAACCAGCATTAAACTGCCACCAAAAGAGGAGGGAAAGCACTACATTGAACTATACTATATCCTTCTCTTTTATCTTGCCTCGAAATTAGTGCTATTTTTACCAAGCCAGTCGAAAAATTCCTTTCAAAATTTCAATTCAATGCTATTTTTACCAAACGAGTAATTTTATTTTTAAAACGAGTAGTTTTAAAAACGAACATCTTTCACAATTTGAATTCAATACTCTCTATTTTGACCAAAAGGAGCCGAGGAGATCTTTCAAAATTTCAATTAAACACTACTTCTGCCAAATACCTTCCAAAACAATGATATAAGTTTAATTATTTTTTCTCGTTCGATACTCGTTCGATTTCCTCCTATAATGATTATAAAATTTATTTGCTCAAAACAGGTATATACAAAAGATCGATAAAAAATAGTGTTAAAATTTTGATAACATCTTCCGATTACCTTTTATCTAAAAAGTGCGTTTTCCATTTGCCATTAATCAATCTAACTGTCCACTCCGTGGACTTACGGTGCGTTTAAAATTGTCTTGAAAATATGCTTCTGCTTAGTTATATTTATTATTAGTTATATTTATTGATAGAATAACAGAGTTCCTTTATTATTACCAAAAACTCTTTCGGTTCCCTGGAAAAACGTATTTCTTTATAACAAAATGCCTGCCATGTGAAAATATTCGAGGATCCTTTACCACGGTTTTCACATTTTCTCGTTTCACGAATCGAAGGGAATGCTTGCGCATACAGAGGGGAGGCCGCGTACATTTCGCGATATTGGAAGTACAAATAACGCGTTATTGGTCGCTTTTCAGCGCTACATCTGACAACGCAGAACGATTTTTTGAATACGGAACCATTATGGACACTGGCCGGATATAGGTATACTAGTTCCGCAGATCGTAGATTTATATGCGCAGACGAGCAAATTGAATTAATCTCAGTGGAATAACCAGGTACATATTGTATATATGTGTACATACATGTACATGAAAATCAGAGCGAATCGGATCGACCAACCGAATAAATCAATTATTCTAAGTTATTAGTTAAGTTTGCTCGGCGAGCATGATCATTCCATAAAACTCATTGAAATATTTGTCCTCTGGCTTTGCATTGCGAACTTGTATACGAAAAGTGTGTTCTTCGCGTTCAAACGAACGAAACAATTCCGAATATTAATTGAATATTAACTGATAAACTATTTTGAATACAGTGACTCGATTGAATAATATAGAACAGCGCGGACGACGCGATTCCTTACTGCAAAAATAAGTTGTAGCGCGAGTTTTCGTTGTGCAAACTTTGATTTTCCGGATACGCGAATTTGTAAATCAGTCGAGTTCGCGTCAATATCGATACACCAGTCGTTACTCTATCGTTTCGTATCGCCCGTTCGCTGTTCGTCGTGTCGGGCGATAGTTAATGCCGGATGTGCAACAACCTTGATAATAAATAAGATCCAGCGTTTTATCTTGCGTAGCAGTAATCACAGTTGTGAATGCACCTGATTAAATATAGTACTTTATTTTACTAAAACTTTAACTTGTGATATTATGCTAAACTATCTTTTCGAGGATTTCATTGCTTATTTTCCGTGTGGCATTTATTGAGGTATTACTGTTTTTTTTTGTTTCACTTATTTGCACACCTTCTGCCGTCAATTAACCATTCTTTCTTTTTAAAAGCAGAACACAGCTCTTAAATAAGTTGTATCACATCATGGTTCAGGTGAAAAGATTGAATAAAGTGAACAGTGACGTACCGTGATGGCCAAAAGTGGAATCAAGGTCGACTTTCAGTTCGTCTTTATCGAGCAGCTTATCATGCCTTGGTGAATGTCCACCAGCTCCTGCTCCTTTCACACGGAAGAAATGGGAGAATCTCGTGTTGCGCGCGTCTTTGTTCAGTCTCTTTTCCTTTGCTCTCCTGTAAAAGAGGCACAATCAATTAGTGACATGTTTAATCACATCGTTTCTACAAATATAAAATGAAATACATTGTTTCTACTAATTTCGAAATTTCGAACGTGGTTATACATATACGTCGATGTGAATCGTTAGGTAAAATAAAAATCCTATGCCAATCCTATCCCAAACTGTCTATTTTTGTGCACAATCTGAGCGCGAATTAGGGAGAAATTACTGTAGTTTGATCACGAACAGACGCGCCAGCCGATATTAAATTATTTTATATAGAAATAATATCTATTTAATAATAATATCTATTTTACAAAATTAATTTTTTGGTCTATGAAATACGGTCAGGAAGAATAGATACATATTTTGAAAATCTTAACTGAAGCAAATTGTATTAGGTCTACCGGAAAGTTCTGTCCGATAGTGTCACTTCAAGTTTCAATCCATATGCACATGTTGATTTGAGACATATATGACTATCTCTCTTTATCATTGCATTTACACATATGTACTCTCCTGAACAAACTGAAACAAAGATGTCTCATGTCATTATTAAGTGAGACGCGATCGTGAAAACATGGCTACCGATGATAATGCCAGACCACATGCTGCTTTGGCGACTCGTCAGAAAATCGCAGAGCTAGGCTGGGAAATTCTGTCACATCCACCATACTCCCCGGACCTAGCACCCTCCGATTATCACTTGTTTCTCTCTTTGCAAAACTTTTTACAGGAAAAAAATTCAAAACTGAAGCTGATGTCAACCAAGCACTAGTTGAGTTCTTCGCCTCTAAAATGAATTATTTTCTAAAAATGGCATTTACAAGTTGCCATCACGCTGACAAGAAGTCATAAGTAACGATGGAAAGTATATTCTACGATAAATATTATTAAATGTATGAAAATTGTGTTATATTTCAATTCAAAAACGGACAGAACTTTCCAGTAGACCTAATAATAAAATATTCTTCGATTCTATAAACTTTCTAGTGTTTCAAGGCACTTATGCAAATGCATGAAATCTGCAGTTTTATCAGTGCACACAAGATCAAAAATTCCACCGAATTTCGATGGAAACTGGAATGCAAAATATGTTTGATTTTATCGAAACAATCAAATTGATAGATTCGTGGTAAATGTGTCCTTCAGAGTTTTTGAGAATTTTAATAAGCAACGTTATACTGCCGATGAGAATACAGTAAACGATTATGCAGACGATTCAAGAAAGAAAGAAACTGCATAAGTAAGAAAGAGAACATACAGACTTGAATCTTTGTGCTGAAGCACAATTTTATTGCCTTTGAAAAATCAATTTTCGCAGAAATACGGTTGGACACTATTGCAAACATTTTTCCTTTTACATGTACGATCCTTTGTACACTCGATGATTTGCAAGAATCTCTCCGATGAAATAAACTTTTTATCTTCACATATATATTTCTAAGTGGTTCTCGTCGTGTTGCGAATTGTCAGAAAATGCCGCTTAAGTGTTTTGACACAAAAAAAAATTTGCAGCACGTGTGTATTTTTATCGTCTTCGTACATGTTTTATCGATGCCTATCGATGACAGAAATAAACGTCAATGATAACGTCATCAACGATTTTCAAAATCTACTGTCACATAGACGAACCACGAGATTACCAGTAGACACGCACTTGTTACTGATTATGTGTAGATATACGCGCGATATTGATACAACGATTTTTTCAACGACGTTTGCTACAATGATGCGATTACCAATGCTACTTTGTCGAGAGAAGTACGAAGAACACGGTTTTTGAAAAATGCCGGAAGCCTTAGATCAATAAGATAAACGATAAAACTTGTTCAAAGCCGCGGGTATCATGATATATCTTACTATTATTGCTGCACAAAAAGGTCAACGTTCAAAAGGATCTTTTCAATTTTTTCTCTATTACAAACGATTCTTCGAATGATCTATTAATTATCGTCTACATTTTTCATACCATTATGTCGATACTATTTATAGTTTAATACCATGTTCATGTAATTTTAAATATCGATTCTACAAATTCCTTGCAGTAGAAAATAAGCTGTCCAATACATTTTCCATGGTTTCAAGCACAATTTTTATGTAATACGAATTGGAATTCCTTATTTTTGTTAATAATATGTAGGAAACAGAAGAAATCCTTTTGTAAAATACCTTAAAATACCGTGAAATACTTCCAACAATTTCAATCGAACATTGAACTCGAAAACTTGACCTTCGAGAGAGAATATTTAAAAATCGCTTGTTATCATTTTATCGTGAAGTACTGGAACTTCAGATTTTTTTTTAGATCCAACGTTGCAAAATCGCGACTACGTGAAATGTGCACAGTTTTACTGATTATACAAATTAATACTTTGCCCTTAACGAGCCTAACTCCTAATGATTCTGATTTCTTGTCACCAGTACTTAAACATTTAAGTAAACTATAAATTGTCTTTTCTCTTCTTAGAAATTATTGCAATCGAGAAACTTCTAATCATTGTAACTATTGGGTTGTCCGGAAAGTTCGTGCCGATTTTACATAGCCAAGCTTCACAATATGATCGTGGATGGTTGATTTTGATTTATTTAGCATTCCTGCTAATTGACGTAATGTCGAGCGTGGGTTATTCTCGATTTCTGTTCTAATCATATCTTCGTCTGTGGTGGACGGTCTACCTGGGCGTTCTTGATCTTCAAGGTCGAAATTTCCAGCTTTAAACCGAGCAAACCGCTTCCGCACAGTTCTTTCGGCTACAGCATTCTCGCTATAAACAGCGCATACCTTATTTGCTGCTTGTGTGGCATTTTTGCCCTTTCGGAAAAAGAAAAGCATTANCGTTCTTGATCTTCAAGGTCGAAATTTCCAGCTTTAAACCGAGCAAACCGCTTCCGCACAGTTCTTTCGGCTACAGCATTCTCGCTATAAACAGCGCATACCTTATTTGCTGCTTGTGTGGCATTTTTGCCCTTTCGGAAAAAGAAAAGCATTAAATGCCTACAATGCACTTTATTTGCCACCATATTCTAAGGCGTACAAAATTGATAAAAATTAACGAATCGTAAACAAACTTTTTTCCAAATATGGCTGAAGTTATCTCTTTTAGAATATGTACACATGTCATTTGTTTTCAATAATTGTGATATATTCAGTCAGGTCTCTCACGCTACCTACCGAAAATCGGCACGAACTTTCCGGACAATCCAATACGAAGAAAATGGAACGGCAAAAATTGTTTTGCTTCAAAGGTCAAGCTTTACGCAAAGTAAATATCGCTGTTCTATAAATAGGCTGTTCCATAAAAATGTTCAAATTATATATAGAAGGACACCAGATAAGAAATCATGTTCATTTGAGATTCGGTGATGAGACAGACAGTTGCTGCGAACGGCTTCGCAAACCTATGTTGAGCCTACTTTTCTATGGTATCCTTGGTATGTTGCACCCTCATATCTCAATTCTGCGGACGATGTTCGCTGAACCGCATTTTGTCAGAATTTGAATGCTGCTTAAAAGTTAGCACGCGAAAGCCTTCGATGCAGAAACCTTCTTAGCTACTATACAATAATCGTTTTCACACGCGCGGTTTCCTGTTTTAACGATTTATGTGGACATTGTGATTCGAAATCGCAGCAGAAACGTAAAGATAATTGAAAACTTTTATTTAAGCTACGAAAAGACCACGAAAGACTCAGTGGTGAAAAGAAGGTAAACTTCTGAATCAACCTGCTTAAATCTACTTTAACAGCGAACATCAAGCAATTGCAATTTTCCCTTCGCTTTTACATTTTCTTGAGTTATCGGTTGCGTCTTCTCTTGGAAAAATGACTGTAGACGATTTTATTTATTGCTCTGGCGTTCGCCGATTTATTTACATTTCATTTTGGTTCTAATACAGGGTGTTCCATAATTGTGTTAACACTCGGAAAGGGGTGATTCGCGAAGTCATTTGAAGTAACTTTTTCCTGAGTGAAAATGCCAACGAGCGATCGAATCCGAGTTCCGCTGATTGGCTCGGCCGCGCTGGGCGAGCTTGCCTCTCATTGGTCAGTGCTTTTCGTTAATATCTCGTAAACAAAGCCGCGGATTGCGTTTTCGCCAAGGAAAAAGTTACTTGAAATCACCTGAGAAATCACCACTTTTCGGGTGTTCTCATAATTATGGAATCCCTTGTATAGCACATATATAGTCACATACTGACAGTATGCACACGACGACGTCAAAACTATAGCATCGAATTGTCTTGATTTCGCGTTAACCGAACGTACCTGTTTTGGAACCAAACTTGAACCACACGCATGTCAAGTCCTGTGTCCGCAGAGAGTTGTTCTCGTACGTGTCGCGCAGGCTTCGGGCTGGTGTTGTACGCTAACTTAAGAGTCTCCAATTGTTTCGCGGTGATGGTTGTCCTCGGCCTTTTGTTCGGTTGGTCGCCATCTATGCTGCCCCCATCAGCCAGTTCTGAAACACCAGAATGCAAACACGTTTCAAACCAGCACGCTCATCGAACCGTCAAATATTTTTGCACGACGCTTTTTCTCACGTAAACGCTCTCGAACCTTTTTTTTTTAAGTTTATCATTCGCACAATTAAGCATTCAGGATACTTCACACAACGCTTGAGACGTACGAAAAGAATCAACGTTGGTCACGACTGCTCTGAACAAATTTCCAACAGAAATTCGGAATCGTCGAAAATTCTCGTTTAAAAATTCCGTCACATTTCTCTATTACCTTCGTGCTTTCGTCTAATCTATATCCGCACAGAGTCACGCATTTTTGTTGTTGACAGATTTCGTTTTAGAACAAATGCACGTATGCGACATCGTCGTATATATTATAATAAAATTACAACACAGGGTATGCACGATCGCGCAGATGAGCGAAAACGTAATCATCGTCGTGATAAAACCGTCTAGAGAACGATAGGTTATCATTGTCCCCCCGATTAAGAAGCGAAAGATTGTTTTTCCCCGCGTGATTTGCCCGCATATGTAAATGCATAAATATGTGTAATCTACTGTCGAAGCGTAATCTGATGTTATTATTGAATGATCCAGTTTACCTTTCGCTTTTGCTTCATAATCAGGCTTGCATACGAGCTTCCTGTCCTCCATAAGGTAATATTGATCGCCTGTGTCCAGTTGCCGGGAGCAAAGGGCACACGAGAAGCATGTCAGGTGGTAGACCGACTCCTGTGCCCTTCGTACAACTTGCGACGGTGCCAATCCTTGGCCGCAGCCCGCGCATTTCGTCCCGAAAAGCCTGCCACACCAACAACATACAACATTTTCACATTACGTTCGCGCATTAATAACAGCAGAGTGTCGCCGTGCTATGGTGACACTGTTCTGAGAAGTGGAAATCATTAAACACTGAACGGCCCGTGCGCGACATATGGTCGTATGATTTCCAGGGTGAAAAGTGGAAAACATTCTGCCACCTTCGTCGGCGCTCATAGTTCAAAACGATCTTAGATTTATGCGTGACATTTTGTTTGTCTGGATTTGTCTTTATTTAACGCCGTTTTAACGGACTAGAATCGCGAGAGTAAAATGAGAGCACTAGAGAAACGTTCCATAATTTTTCTATGATACAACGATGAATTAATATTTTGATTACGTTGGTAACTTAAAAAATACAGTTCCAAGTAATTCATTGAATAGAACGAGATTTAGAATTAAGATTTATCTTAATTTTTCAATGTTGCAGTATCGAATATGTGAAAGTTGAGTAGATTCTAAAATAACAGCAATATCGCTTACGTTTGTCGTTGCTAGACTGCGGATCTTTATAAGCGCTTCTGGAAAAAAATGGCTAGATCGAAAACAAAATTGTGAAGACAATGAAAAAAATTTGCGAATATTTCTGTATTAAGTAGGCATTACGAGAATTATTTGAAGAGGACAGACATTTTCATCTGACTTACGTTCCTTACAACCAACTTAGAGAATTTATCTTTTGCATAAAGATCCGTTACCCTAGCCGTTACAAAGGAAATAAATCCAACAACGATAACGTCATTTGTTATTGCCAAAGCCTCCGTATCATTTGCGTCCTTGAAAATCGATATTTGTGCGCTTAGTTTCTGTCGTGTTCGAAAGCGAATTTTGTCCTTCCTGCCTGTTATTCGCTTCTTCTTTTCTATTTACGAATCGCCGTCGCGTTTAAATTCCTATTTCTTTCGAAGAGATGTACCAACGTGCTGATAGTTCAAAGATAGTTCAAAATGGCTAGATCGAAAACAAAATTGTAAAGACAATGAAAAGAATTTGCGAATATTTCTGTATTAAGTACGCATTACGAGAATTATTTGAAGAGGAAAGACATTTTCATCTGACTTACGTTCCTTACAACCAACTTAGAGAATTTATCTTTTGCATAAAGATCCGTTACCCTAGCCGTTACAAAGGAAATAAATCCAACAACGATAACGTCATTTGTTATTGCCAAAGCCTCCGTATCATTTGCGTCCTTGAAAATCGATATTTGTGCGCTTAGTTTCTGTCGTGTTCGAAAGCGAATTTTGTCCTTCCTGCCTGTTATTCGCTTCTTCTTTTCTATTTACGAATCGCCGTCGCGTTTAAATTCCTATTTCTTTCGAAGAGATGTACCAACGTGCTGATAGTTCAAAGATAGTTCAAAATGGCTAGATCGAAAACAAAATTGTAAAGACAATGAAAAGAATTTGCGAATATTTCTGTATTAAGTACGCATTACGAGAATTATTTGAAGAGGACAGACATTTTCATCTGACTTACGTTCCTTACAACCAACTTAGAGAATTTATCTTTTGCATAAAGATCCGTTACCCTAGCCGTTACAAAGGAAATAAATCCAACAACGATAACGTCATTTGTTATTGCCAAAGCCTCCGTATCATTTGCGTCCTTGAAAATCGATATTTGTGCGCTTAGTTTCTGTCGTGTTCGAAAGCGAATTTTGTCCTTCCTGCCTGTTATTCGCTTCTTCTTTTCTATTTACGAATCGCCGTCGCGTTTAAATTCCTATTTCTTTCGAAGAGATGTACCAACGTGCTGATAGTTCAAAGATAGTTCAAAATGGCTAGATCGAAAACAAAATTGTAAAGACAATGAAAAGAATTTGCGAATATTTCTGTATTAAGTACGCATTACGAGAATTATTTGAAGAGGAAAGACATTTTCATCTGACTTACGTTCCTTACAACCAACTTAGAGAATTTATCTTTTGCATAAAGATCCGTTACCCTAGCCGTTACAAAGGAAATAAATCCAACAACGATAACGTCATTTGTTATTGCCAAAGCCTCCGCATCATTTGCGTCCTTGAAAATCGATATTTGTGCGCTTAGTTTCTGTCGTGTTCGAAAGCGAATTTTGTCCTTCCTGCCTGTTATTCGCTTCTTCTTTTCTATTTACGAATCGCCGTCGCGTTTAAATTCCTATTTCTTTCGAAGAGATGTACCAACGTGCTGATAGTTCAAAGATAGTTCAAAATGGCTAGATCGAAAACAAAATTGTAAAGACAATGAAAAGAATTTGCGAATATTTCTGTATTAAGTACGCATTACGAGAATTATTTGAAGAGGAAAGACATTTTCATCTGACTTACGTTCCTTACAACCAACTTAGAGAATTTATCTTTTGCATAAAGATCCGTTACCCTAGCCGTTACAAAGGAAATAAATCCAACAACGATAACGTCATTTGTTATTGCCAAAGCCTCCGCATCATTTGCGTCCTTGAAAATCGATATTTGTGCGCTTAGTTTCTGACGTGTTCGAAAGCGAATTTTGTCCTTCCTGCCTGTTATTCGCTTCTTCTTTTCCATTTACGAATCGCCGTCGCGTTTAAATTCCTATTTCTTTCGAAGAGATGTACCAACGTACTGTTAGTTCAAAGAAAAGCCGAACGAAATCAACGATTGGTCAAATGTCCATCGCGTCCGATGCAACTGCTGATAAACGAGTGATTTATCGAACTAGCGTAAAAGAAGCGAAGTTCTCCGAGTCTCGGAGCGTGTCGTAAAGGTGGTTGTTCCGCTCCCAAGAAGATTTCTACCCCGAGAAAAGGGCGAGCAGCCGGAGAAGGACGAGACAATGGGGGAAGGGAAGCGAGTTCCTTCGATTCGGCTAACGGAAGAAGAAAAATGGCGTCTCGCGGTTGCGGAGGTGTGGGTGGATGAGAAAAGGCACGCTCTTCTGACACAATCAATACCAACGGTAGGTATACATGCATGCACGTTTGATCTAACTTTCGCCTGAGCTTCTTCACCTTTTCATTATCCACGGGAGAACAATGCCGCGTTCCGGTTGCTCGGACTGCATTTGTCCGCGAGCGATCGTTGATAAGCGTTTACATCTTTTCGCTATCCATCCAGATAGTATTTCCAGAAAAAGAATACTTCGAACTCGTCGGCGGCTTTACGTAATACCTTCATTCGCCTTCTAGTATCTTTGCACTTCACGTGTATCTACATCGAACTGTAAGTTCGCGATAGTGATCTGACTAAATGCACTTGTCACGTGATTTTAACGACTTCTTTTTATCATGATATTATTACACAGTTATTTTTGTAACTAGTTCAGCGTAATGCACGAACTTTACGGATATAAAATGCTGTTAGTCGTTTATGCAAATTAATGGTAAGTGTTGATGTTTGATCGTCGAAACTGTTCATACTCGTTTCCAAATAAACGAGTGATGATTGTAATGCTTATTATTATTTTCTTCGTTCAATCCTTGTCTACTAGGCTTAGGAAGACTTCCAGTCTTACAATTGCACATATTTTATCATGACAATTGTAATACGTACTTCGAATTTGGCCCATTATGCGTAAAACATTATACATAAGAATTTATGTAGAAGCGACCATGGGCGCACATTTATCGAAACACGATGCTTTCTAATCGAGTAGTGATTAAAAACCTGTACGGCGATAAGACCGCCAGAATAACGACGAGACCGATGGTGATACCAAAAAGGTATTGCAAACACGGATTGGAGGAATCTGGAGAATGTGAAGATCAAGTGTGCTTTCTTCAATAGAATCGTGATTTCTTTTTAACATTCGGACGGCGGGACTCGGGCTCATTTAGGCTCAGAGCATAAATACTGTTACCCGACCATCTAGTTTCTGACAATTAAGTTAATTTTCACATGTTTCATCGACGTCTATAAAAATACTAGCCTGCCTAGAAAGCAGCAGCTAGCAAAATATATCGAACAGCACTGACGGGAATAAAATTAGAAATAATCCTAAGCCTATTGAGTTATATTTTCGTCGAAAAGGTCCGCCGTTCGGGTGTTAATGCCCTAATCGATATAGTAGTTAGTTATACGTATCAATTCGAGAGATATTTGAATACAAGCAGGTTCTATCTAAATTCTTATGTTCAATGTTTTATGCATAATGGGCGAAATAAGGATTGTGATCTGTGTAGTGAAACGTACATTTCGAAGTATTACAACCGTCATTCGTTTATTTGGAGATGAGTATGGACAGTTTCGATAATCAAACATCGATATTTCTAATAAAATGGGACTGATCTAAACGAAGCGTTGTATTCGTAATAATCCCAAAAGAAGGTCGATGGCTTCCGTCACGTACAATACGCATAAAAATTGATTTCTTTTTAAAGGCATCCGAGGTCTGATCGACCATTCACGGCGCAAACAGAAATAAATAACTATTGGTACTTACTTGAAGAAGTCGTCTTTACAGAAAACGTGACCGTTCCTCGCGAAACACTTGTCGGTGAGCCTAGCTCCGCAGTCTCGGCACGTTAGACACCTTGCATGCCAACACCTCTCGAGGACTCTCAGAATGTATTTATCCAAGATAGCTTCTTGACAACCGCCGCACTTCGGTATCGAAGCTACAACAGATCGCAAAAATTGTACACGATTAGAGCGAAGTATTCGCGAGTTTCCTCTGAAAATGTAAACTAGTATTTTAGATGGTTTTAGCAGTACAGTGAATTCTCCCTAATTGACGCTCAGATCGTACAGAAAAATGGACAATTTGGGAAGAGGAGATACGATTATTCGAGACTTGCGGCTCGTTTTTATAATTACCGATTGTCAATACATATAAAAACGGGGCTCGAGGCTGGAATAATCGTATCTCCTCTTCCCAAATTGTCCATTTTTGTGTACGAGCTGAGCGTCAATTAGGGAGAATTTACTGTAATTACAATGTAGTGTTAGCGTGAAATTCAGCGTGTAGAGAATTGGTAGGCTCAGATTTTAAACGAATACAGTTTTCAAGCTTTAACGATGTTCCGATATTTCAGGATGATCGATGAATGAAAGGAAATCACAGAATTCACACGATAAATTCTCAATTTCATATTAATCTACTACCATTTGATCTACATTTGTTTGAACTTTCTCATTTATTTACGTAGACAGTGACGAACAATAACGAGTTTCTTATTTAGAAAGTGTACTTCTCGCTTGTCATTTATGTAATGCCATGCTGAGAGAGAATTTTTTTGCCACGACAGAAAGTATTTCTTCCTTTAGATTGAAAAGAATTGTATAGTTATAAGTAGGCTGTATAGTTATAATTTAGTAATTAGTAATAATTTAATTGTATAGTTATAAGTAAGGCAAAATAAAAATTGTTTAAGTCGACTGTAAGAAACGTAATGTTTTCTCTGTTTTAATCATTTGAAGGAGTTGTACATATTGTAAAAAATATCCTGAAATCCTTCTAATGTCTTCATAGTTTCGTAATATTTTTGTCATAAATGCATCAAATCTGCAGTTTATTTACGAGAAAATGACTCAACTCGAAGTTACCAAAATATTCAATTGCTATTTTTCAGTTTGCATATCATACATGCAATATTTTTGAAGAAAGCTATTTGAAGAAATTCGATTCTAGAATATTAAGTAAACATTGCTAATCAAAAACACGAGATCGCAGAAAATATTTTACAAGCGTTCAACGCAACGCACGCGTGACTCTATTAGTTCACCAATGGTTTACGCTCTTCAATTGTATACTTCTCTCTGTTCCAAATTTTTCGGTCGTTCTTTCATTCATTGATCTCGAATGCATGTCCAACGATCGCGGATGCAGCACTGTATCTAACAAAAATTCATTTCTAACAGATTGCAAATAACTTGTTCAGTTGTTAAAGTATTACTACTTCGTTAGATACTTCTTAAATTTTTAGTAAACTATTTCCTGGACAAATAACACCCGACGACGATACATATTTTTGACGCAAAGCTAATATCTTGGAAAGTAGCTTCCGGAAACTCTTAACACTAAACCTACTAACACTAACACTAAACCTACTTAATACTAAACTAAAAGAAAGCGGTCAAAGTGACCTGCAAATTTTCTTGCAAATTATTCTGCAAATTTTCCACTCTTTCGTGAAAAACGCTTGAATAAGTTACATTATTGGAGCAAGTTTTATAATAAAAGCTTTACAAATTCTGAATAAATTCGGCCTTCTCACTTTCGTGAAGCAGTACACGCCAGTTAGTATTACTGCTTGGTAGGTTTAGTGTTAATCTTCTAAGTACCAGAACGCGATGCATTTAATCACGAAATTGAACGTATTCCGCGCAAAATAATCGCAGAGACATGCAAATCGAAAATTTTTCATCGACAAATTTCGCGGAAAATCCGCGCGATGGTGAAGCGAGTAATAGCAAAAGTTCAACTTTTGCTATTATCGCTCAGGATTTCCTCAAGATGGCTAATGAGATCGACGTTTCTCACTTACAATAGAGGATCTTAGGAATATGAGCCGGTAAACCGAGATCGACGGCCCTCTGATCGAGAGGATGCATTTCGCTGTGGGGAGTGTCGTCGAAGCTGGAAATGTTGGCCGGATTTCCAGAGTTGCTGCTATTTCGCCGGACGTTCTGCGACTCCAAGCTGTCGTGCGGCGGTGTCAAGACATCTTGACGGGCGCGCCGATACATCCCTTCCAAAGGCATAGACTCCCGGCCCAGCATCTCCAGGCTTATCATAGTCATGGTTGTGTTCTTTTTTTTTCTCGATAGAACTTCCGACGTGTCACTGTCTCGTCATTTCGCGCAACCGAGCGCCAACGAATTCCGGCGACTTTGCCCTAATCTAATGGAATCGGAGCAAGTACGGTCTAATTGTCCAACCATGGAACATTTATCGTGTTCTGCTCTGCGATCTGGCACGGTTTGCTCCAAGTTGTTTCGCAATCTTCGTTCACGGGCCGCTGCCGTCACAGAATCCTTCGCACTTCCCAGCACAACCGCACCACGGGATTCATCGTTCCTTCAAAACTGTCTGTATTCTCTAACGGATAACGATGAGAACCGTGACTCAACATGTACCCGCGAGATCAGCTCTTCGTTAATCCTTTCACTGTCACTCTCATCGACGATCATATTCGGTGGGTATAGCGTTCCTATCCAGACTGGACGCGTCGAGTCAACTGTATCCTCCGAGTGCCGGTCGAACTGTAATCAACGCACAAGTCTAGATTGTTCGTCGAACCGACGTTGGATCTTTCACTAGGTTTCTTTTGGAAATTCGGGCTGTATCAGTGGACTCGGACTGTCAACGACAGACCTCGTGTAAAGTATCGAAGCGACCGGAACGAGGGCTCGCGGAGGACTGTTCCAACGATGTTGCAGCTGCTCGTGCGCACGTGACATTCGTGGGTGTGGCGGGTTCCTGGTGGGGCATACGTCAGGGTTATTGGGTGTGGTCCGCACCCACGCTTCTAACGCTTCGACGCCGATTGGTGGGAACCCGGACCGCCCCCAATATGGCGACCGACGCACTACCAAGCGACTTTCAAACAACCGATACTCTGCTTGCTGATACTCTGTCTAGGGTGCTGCTGATACGCCGTTGACACGGCGATGATGTGCGTTGGCTGCGAGAGCGAAGCATCAAGAAATATGGAGCCGATCTCTAACCCTGGCTGACCATGTGCGTTACGTTTCGGTCGCGAACTTTTTCGAAAATTTCTCTCGTCGACATTCTCTCGTCGTTTTTTCTCGTTTTATGTTGTAGATATTTACGAGAAAGCTTCTTTTTTGCTATACTATACTTTCTATTACTACGTTGATTTAGTTAGATAATTCTTTATTTCGTACCTTTCGGTTTTGAAAGTTTTCCTTAAGTTATCGAATCCTTCACATAACTTCTTACACGATTCAACTACCTAATGTTGCTTGAAGTAACTTCATATTTACTTCATAATCATTTCTCTCTCGCAGCTAATCGTAACACAAATATCAATTTGACTTAACATACGAAATAAAAATATAATATATATTATACAATACTTTAACGTAACATTATTCATTCTACATGTATAATTCGCACATTCTCTTTATCATTGATTTCGTTCTTGTACATGTTGTTCGGCGTGCGTCTATTTGTGCAAAGCCTATTTTAATGAGACTTCTCGCATGAGAAAATTATGTACACATATAATCGCACGTATTCGGACAGTAATGCAAATAAAAATAAGAGAAATTATGCGATTTTTATCAGGAAAAAAGAACGAATCAATGCAAGAATCGTTTGAAACTTGAATTCCCTGTATTATTTGTAATAATACTATTACAGTACTAATTATAATACTAATTTTCCTAATAAGCAGGATTATAATTTTCAATTTTTATGTTTAAAGTTTAAAAGTGTATCGTAATTATTTTGAACTGAAACACTGTTTTAAAATGAAACTACCACTGATACGAAACGTCGTAACATCCCTTCGAACTCGAGTGGTGAATCTGAGGCACCACTAAACACATTGTTATATCTTCTATCGAAATAACGTTCACATTATCAAATCTGTTTACATTTATTATTAAAAATGTAATTGTTGTACGAGTCACAAGGCTCAACTTCATGTGCATGAAGTGCAATAAGTCATATAAAATAGAAGCACAGTACAGATGCGAAGAAACAATTATGGATTTTGCGTTAAAATGGCTTCGAGTGCAAAGGGTTAAAATAAACAAGATAAGAATAATCGTATATGCTTTTACGACAGACACGCTTATTCCATCCTCCAAAAAATCATCGATTTCCTTCCAATAGTTGCTAACAGACACGACTTATAGTCCCATCGCAGCGAGCCGTGAGCAAAATTTCCAACTTCGCCCGGCTTCCCGTTCCCATTTTCGTTCGGTCTTCGTCGATCGGCGAGGGTTGCTTTCGAGCATCCATTTCCAGAGACCCGCGACTACGGTCCTCTATTCATCAGAATCGTCACGTAAAAGAATTCTCTCCTGTGCTCCTTGGCGAGTTCCTTTGGCAACGTCTAGAGAGCCGTGTCGATTGTGAAAGCAAGCGTCGCGGAAAGGTAAAGAAAGAGGGCGGCTGGCCGTGGGGGGTGGCAGCAGACCCGGACTGCGACGAAGGGAATACGGGGGGAGGCAACGGGCGAAAGAAGGGAAGGAAAAAAAGGAGAACAAGCAGAAGAAGCGGAGAAACGAGGCTGGATGGGAGGAGGGCTACAAAAGGATCCGAGGCGAAATTAAGAACAGCCGTGCAAGACGGCGGGAGGAGGGGGGGGCTGGAGGTGAGGGTCGCCATTTTATAATCTTAGTCGAGATCAGTCGTGTATACTCTTTTCTCGTCCCTCAGTGATTCGCGTGCGCCCATCCACACCGAACCAAATAAGTCGGGGGTGTAGGTCGACGTATAAGTAGACGTATAGACGCGTCTACCAACGTCAGCCGGTACGCTTTTCAATACGCGTCTTTGTTTTTCTCGGTCGCGTCAGATGGCACGTATCCTCTTTGTCGTTACATCTTGCTCCCCTTTTTACCTTCCAGATGAAAACTCCCTCGCCCGGCGCCTTTTGAAACGAGGAACACGGGAGCTCACGGTTTTCCCTCGGCTGCGCGA